CTGATCACCCTACAGCAATCTTTGCATCTATTACAACCACAAAATGTCTAATAAATGACAAAGACTAGGCAATACTATATCTGAATGAGTGTCTACTGTTATATCTAGTTCTGGGATAAACCATTACACAATAATATACTGTTTCTAATAACTTCGTATCTTAATAAAAACAGGATGCTGAGAAGAGGTAAGAGATGGCAGCTGAGCCAGAGAGAATGGCACAACAAAAGATGCTTTTTAACAATAGTGAATTTGAGGCCCCCTTGAACTACACAGCAAGACACGATCTCACATTTTATTGTCTCACCAATAAAAAGGTCTGTTTAGCTGGGGTGATGGCACACATCTGTAATCCTAGCACTCTGGGAGGCAGCATGGGCAACTTAGTGAGGGCTGAGGGGACAGCTCAGTGCAAAGGTCCCTAGTTTAAGCCCCAATACAAGAGGAACACAACAAAAGACAGAAGGTTCCTAAAGAGTTCCATGAAGTAGCTGGTATAAAATGACAGATACCATTGTGTTTGGGAATGCTTTCTATTAGGTGGCACTAACCTAATGACTCAAATAAGTTTTTATTGTGAGCACTGTCATTTTTGTGCAAAGGTCCAGTGCTCAAGCCCCAACATGACAAGAGGAAACAGAATCAAAGACAAAACGAAAGGTTCCTAAAGAGCTTCGTGAAGTGGCTGATATAAAATATAGATACCATTATGTATGGGAATGCTTTCTATTAGGTGATACTAACCTAATGACTCAAATAAGTGAGCACTGTCATTTTCATATTTACCAACGAAACTACAATAAACTTGTAGATATCACTTGTTTATGGGAAACAAAACAAATCCAAATTATAAAAAATCCAGCCAGGCATGGTGGCACACACCTGAACTCCTAGCACTTAGGAGGCTGAGGCAAGAGGATTACTGTGAGTTTGCGAACAGCCTGGGCTACACAGTGAGTTCAAAGTTAGCCTGAACTACATAGCAAGACTCTGTCTTAAGAAAAAAAAAAATCCTAAGCCATTAGTAATTGATATAGTTTGTGTCCAATGTCCCTCTAAAGCTCATGCAGTCATGGGTGGGGCTTTTTCAGAGACGACTGGATCCAGAGGGTGTGATGCTGGCACTGATTTGTGGTGCAATGCTACTTGCCCTAAAAAGCTTAAGAGAAGGTGTAGAAAGAGCTGTGGTCGGCCCTTGCTTACCTGCTCTTGCTGTCTTCTGCTTGTCATGAACTGATTCTCTCTGCAGTCTCCCTTGACCATGCCACCCTGCCTTGGAGCCAGCCATTATGGTACTTTTTGTGGGTTTTTTTGTACAGGTAATCAAACTCAGGACCTTGTGCTTGCCAGGCAGGCGTTATCCCACTGAGCTACATCCTCAGCCTGAGCCAGCCGATTCTAGACTGAAATGTCTACAAACTATGCACTAAAAAAACCTTTCCCCTTTTAATGCTGGGTGTCAGGTATTTTATCTCAGTGAGAGGATCATAACTAAGAGTAACTTAATAACCTGGTGGACTATCTAAGATTATCTTAGATAAGATACTGCTTCCAAAACTTAACCCTAAAAATACCTTTTACTTGTTTGAAGCAGATTGAGGCCTCAAATGCATTATGTGTGTCCAGATAGTTCCTAGGATTAGGTAAAATTTGATTTTTATTTGTTTGTTGTTTGAGACAGGATTTCCCCACATGCAGGATGGCTTTGAACTTGCTTATGTAGCTCAGGATGGCCTCAAACTCACGGTGATGCTCCTGTCTCAGCCTCCTGAGGGCTGGGATTACAGGTATGTGTCACCACACCTCGCTACATTAGGTAAACTTCAGAAACACTATGAGTCAGATTAGGACAACACTGAATGCTTCACATAGAAGTGTGTACTATCACAGGATTATCTACTCTTTTAAAATTTAAATGACTCCCAAGGTCATATAGTTAGTATCAGAGAACTCCAATATGTGTTTTAAATCGATTCTTTTCTTCTGTTTTAATCTTAAAGTTCTGTTTTTACATACTAGATACAACCTGATTTTTCTTCTATCTTCTAGAAACATTTTAAATTATGAATAGATTCATTAGGATTCTCAACCTTATAAAAAAGATTACAGGTCAAGTCAATGTATTTCTATGTGTCTTGCCCTTTTTGGGAATAAATACACGTTCTGGAGTACTCACTATGAGCAAGAGGCTGTGTATAGGTTGTACACCTCAATCTTCATTCTCCTCCTCCAAGTTTGTACTCATCAGCTGAGGGAACTAACTTTCTCTCTTTTTTTGTGGAACCAGGGATTGAACTCAGGCCCTCGTGCTTGCCAGGAAAGCGCTTATTCTACTGAGCTATCTCCCCGGCCCCGGGAACTAACTTTGAAAGCAGTTAAATAACTTGCAAAGAATGTCAGTACTATTATGAAATATCAACCTGAGATTTCAGCTGGGGTCTTCAGAGTCTAAAGCACATATAGGCTGGGGATGTAGCTCAGTAGCACAGTGACTGCCTGGTAGGCGTGAGGTCCTGAGTTTGATTTCTAGTACAAAAAAAAAAAAAAAAAAAAAAAAAAAGCACATGTACACTGACTTCATGTGCCTAGTAAAACAGTTATCTCTTTGTTGAACAATAGCGTTGTGCAGACCAGTAAACAAAGGAAATCTGGCTAACTCAGGAATTTGTGATTAGGAAAGGAATTACTAATCATCAGTCTTGTTTGAATTAGCAAAGGCTTCCCAAAGAAAGCAAATGAAACGAGCTGTTTTCATAGCTGAGGGTGAGCTGCAGAATTCAGATTTCATCCACTAGAAAGAGTATGTGCAGCTGCAAAAAGATAACAATGCTACAGAAGGTGGTCTGACGTGAGGAAAGTGAAAAACGCGGCTGGAGAAGTAGGCGGAACCAGATCACTGAGGGATGCCCGGAACAACTCTACAAGAGGTGCTCGAAACAGGATGAATGTTAAGATTAAAACTACTACAGTAAAAGATATATTGCCACCATTTTTCTTCAAAGAATTTCCCAACTTCGAACACAGTTATCCTGTCTTTCTTGTGCTTTCTGAACAAGCTCTGGAAGCCGTCCTTCGTGTCTTCTACACAGTATGATTGAAACTGCAGTGCACGCTGCTGCTGAGAGCCACGTGACGCAAAGACCACTTCACATCCGTAGGCCTTGCGCCGCGACTCTAGGCTCGTCCCCAAAGCCAGAAAATGACCGTAAAAGATAAACATTTTGAACTGATTCAGGACATCAAAGTAGCCACGAAAGCACAACTAACAACATGAAGAACTTTCAGAACTGCTCAGAAAGTGAGGGATAAATCAATGAGATAAATGTGTTAGAAGTGGGAGGGCCGGCGGTATGGCTTAGCAGACTAAGCGCTTACGTAGGTAAGTGCAGGGGCCAGGGTTGAGCCCCGGCTCTGCATGGCCCGCCGGCCCGCCCCTGGCGCGCTGAGCCAGAGTCTGGGCATGGTGGCGCACACCTGTGATCCCAGCACTAGGGAGGCAGAAATCCGGAGGTTCACTACGAGTCTGGGCTATGTAGTGAGACCCTGCACACACACACACACACACACACACACACACACACAAGAAAAAAACAACTAAAAAAAAGAAGTGGGGAGTATTTCGTGGGGGGCAATAGCAAAGCCTCTTCTGCTGTAATAGGATTACTAAGCACTCACCATGCGCTTTGATCCCATGTACCAGTTTCACATCACAGGCAATGGATTTAAGTGAATGAGACTGAAGGTGGGATCGGTAAGAAATGAGGATGAGTGTGAACTAAACCATGGTAAGATTAAAAAGGGGATGAATTAAGACATATTTAGATAAAGAAACTAAAATTTTAGCAAATAATCATAAGAAACATGAACAGCTTTTTGAGAATTATAATGTAGAATAGCCTTAAAGTTGTTAGCACTTATCATGCAAAAAAAGTACAGCCCAATTCATAATTCAATACGATTTTACTACTCACATGCAGTCATCCCAAATTCATTTTGTATATTTTGTTCCTCTACCTAGGTTCTTAAAGCAAAGAAGAATCACATGCAGGTCCCACTTTAAATAGATCATACTTCAAACATATTTCTAATTGATGACTAGTATCTCGATGTGCTGAGAAGTGATGTCATAAAATTAGACTCCCAAGTTAGTCACCAAAGTTTTATGATTTTTTTAAAAAAATGTATTTGGTACAGCCTCTCACTACACAACTCGGACTCCTAGTGATCCTCCTGTTTTCAGGCACCCCAGCGCTGGTATTATAGGCATGCACCATCATGCCCGAACTAGGTGGCTGGCTCAGGGCTCAGCGTGAGTCCTAAGGGGCATGTGGTACCAGAGATGGAACCGTCCCTGTGCTTGCCTAAGCAGGCATTTAGTCCACTGAGCTATCTCAGTGGCCCTAGTCACAAAAGTTTTAATGCATGACACACATGAACCTATCTAGTATATCTATGTGAGCTACATATTTCTTCAAAAGTAATACTTAACTCAATATAACTTGGTATAACTAGTTAAATATTGTTTTTATAGGAAATTGTCATTTATGATGTCCAGTAATTCTCAAACTATGCTTCCATTAGAATCAACTAATAGCTTTTAAAATTCTTTAAAAAAATTATTCATTTATTTGGTACAGGGTCTTGCTATGCAGCCTGGACTCATACTGATCCTCCTGTTTCAGCCTCTCCAGCACTGTGTGCGCCACCATAGTCAGTTTCGGTGGCTAGCATGGTGCGTCCAGGCTTTCAGGGTCAGTATGGCATGTGGTACCGGGGATCGGACCTGGGCTCTTGCACTTGCCAGGCAAGTGTTTACACTCCTGAGCTATCGCCCCAGCCCAAGCTCTCAAAATTCTGAGGCAGGTCTCAATCCATAATACCTAAATCAAAATATCTGGTAGGGGAACCAGGCATAGATGTACCTATGAATTTAAAATAAATCAATGATTGATTCAGGTAAATAAATTTTCTTCCAATAATGTAGTATTTGTTCTTCTCAAAATGGCCTTTTATAAAGTTAAAAATAATTAGTGTTACTTCAAAAATTCTAAATCTGAAATGTACTTGGTATGATTTTGAAACCATTTAAAATCATATTTCTTACAAACTATATTAATAAATAATCATGGAATACCTGCATTGATGCTTGGCTCAGCAGTATGAGAGCTTTTATTCTTTGTAGAAGAAAATCTTGCTGGACTCAGTTTTGATCCACATGCTGGAAATATGTCTGACCTACAACAAGACAAAGTAATTTGAATAAACATTTTTAGAGCTAATACTCATAACATGCATATTTTATTGTTTTTATTAACTCAGTGAACCTTCAGATAAGGCAGCAAACATATAAAGAATATGAAATCAAATATAAAAGTATAGTTAATAGTATTTTTTAATTAGAATTTTTCATTTACTTTTGACCTTGAACCTTTTAATACATGGCTAATTTTTAATCTTCCAGAAGGAGACTGTTATAGGAAATGACTCTGACTTGTGTTATATAATTTCTGGGCAAGTGCAAGAAAACTGAATCAAGGGTCCATCTAAGGCCAACTCAAATTATCTCCTATTTATGTAATATACTATCTACCATCATATGTAGGACAAAATTAGGGACATGACTACTAGTAAGAAATCGGCAGCAAGTGAACTTGCAAATGCTACCTCTTTTATTCTATGCCATAGTTCTTTGACATTTTAAAGGCTTATAAGCTTTGTTTAATAAAGAAAGAAAACTTTGTTATAGAATACTACATCTGAGAGAGTACATTGGCCAAGCAATGGCCGTAACTCATCCACATGGCTGACACTGACAAAGGTTCTACAATCTGAGGTACAGGATCTCAGGATAAATCCTGAGGGCATTTCACTGACCTTCTCAGACCCAAA